CCCCAAAACCCCAAAACCCCAAAACCCCAAAACCCCAAAACCCCTATTTTTGATTCTAAAATTGAATCATTTTAGAGTCTTACTCTTCATGAGTTTCTGCTAACCATTTGCTCTCAAGCACTTGCTTAATATTTGCTCTCCGTTTTGTGTTAACTCAGAGGCAAGCTTTTACTAATGCTTGAGCTTCTGTAGAGATCTGAGTATCTGAAGGCCAATAATACCTTCCATAAGAGATCTTTTTATAGAGATCTCTCTCGTTGTACCCTCTGAAGGGGAATTTGCCTCACAACATGACATATCAAAGGATGCCAAAGGCCCATATATCTACTGGAGGACCTAAATAATCCCTTTTAGCGATAATTTCAGGGGACATGTAGCTTGGAGTGCCTCAAAATATCTTCAATTTCTTCTCGTGACCTGAAGTGATGCTGAACCCAAAGTCGATAAGCGTGATCTTATTTAGTTGCAGAATTAATTATCAGATTTTCAAGTTTCATATCTCGATGGGCTACATTCTGACCATGAACATAATCAATAGCTTCTGCTATCTGACGGATAATTATCTTGGCTTCTTCTTCAGGAAGCCTCTTACCTGGTCGCTCCTTTAGATAACGATAGAGAGATCTTCCTTTGACGTGCTCCATTATGATATAAATTGAGTGAGGATTGTCAAAAGAGGTAATCATCTTTACAATATTCGGGTGACTGATCTTCTTCATAATTGCTATCTCTCTCGAAACTGATTTCCTCCTTGCGGCATCTGTAAGTTTATATTTCTCATAAATCTTCATAGCCTGTTGCTGCTTAGTGGTTTTGTCAATAACCATCCTGACAACGGCATAGGCTCCCTTGCCAATCTGCCGGCCCATTTTATAATCTTTTATACTCCTGTCTCTTTCGTAGCTACTTCCTCTTTTCTTATTTGCTCAGTTAGACATCGCTCCAATCCTGGCATTCGACTCTGAATGTCCTCTGACCTCTTTCAGGCTGACTCTTCTCAAAATTTTCTCTTTCAAGACCAAATCTTGCATCATTGCTGGTATCTTCTTCATATTATTAGACACTGATATTGGTGCGATTAGCTGTGGCTCCTTATGATTAGTAAAGTTCTGCCCAGCGAGCTTTGTCAGGGTAGTATCAAGAGGATCTCCTTCTTTATAATTATACAGGTCAGATATTTTAGGTTTGTGTCGAATCACTTTCTTGCCTGCGTCTCCAAGATCAGAGAGACATCTGCCATTCGAGGAGGAATTAAACTCTCTGTTAATCATATCCAGAGCTTTGTTCTTTTCCTTCTCTTTAATACAACTCTTCCTTTGTGAAAGAGGCTTTACATCCATTGACACCTCAGTAGTTGTGTGGTTGCACGATGTATTCTTGGTGCTGGTAGATTCCTTCCCTTTTTGCAGATATATCTTCTTGACTCTACACTTATCTTGGCTTCCTATAATTTTATGCCTCAGACTAACCTATTCGATTGCCATAGCTGTTTTGAAAATGTTTGTTGCAGTTCTTCACAAAAGTATCATTTGATAAGGTTGTCTTGCTAGCAAAGGTGCCTGAGCTAGTAGGATAAAAGGCCTGTGGGTATTTGACTCCCTCTGATTCTGAACTATTCAAGCAATTTGGTCTGTACCCGATCAGTCTGGTCTGAGGCTTCTTCTTCATCTTGCTAGGAATGTACACTCTGTTGTTAAAATAAGGAGCCTTTTTCAACGCTTCATACTTTTTAGTGGCAGCTCTTGATTTAGCTAAAGTCCTTCTCTGGTTCTTTATTCTGAACTGGTTTTGCCCATTGCTTGTATATGGTCTCTGTTTGGGTTTTGCCTCAATTGGTTTTATTTCTCTCTGCATCTTCTCAACAAAATCTTCAAAAGTCTCTTTGGAATCTAATGCTTGAGCATTCTTGACTGTTCTGTTACCTTTTCTATCGGAGATGGCAGATTTAAAGGATCTTTTCTCTCGCTGCATCTGTCGCACAGGTTTTATACGACTTGCTCTGCTTACCATATAATTTTGAAGTGGCAAATATGAAGAAAAAACATTGTTCTTGCTTTTTAGTGATCCAGATGTATTTTTCCTATTATATCTCCGGGAATTTTTAACGCTCCCAGCACGACTACCAAGGTGTTTCGCCTTTAGCACCCCAAAAGCAGAGTCATTCGAAGGCTCTTGTGAGGATTGGATTTTCATACCAGGATTCCGTGTTTCCTCTTTGAGAGTGTTGTTCAATAGGTTATTTAGACATGTTTAGACCAGATACTTCTGTCCCTGAATCACTTCATTTTGAAAGTAAATTAGTTCCTTTGGTTTTCACACCTTCTTGATTATTATCCATTTTCGGCAAAATTTTAAATTCAATTTTTTAAAACATAAAAGGGGTTTTGGGGTTTTGGGGTTTTGGGGTTTTGGGGTTTTGGGG